GCACTTCACATTTGCAATTTACGATGCCGTACAGATTTCTGCAGTCACGACAATTGAAGGGTTCATCGAGTTGCTTGAGCGATTTGAAAATGGAGGAGGGATTAATAAAAATCGGGATAGAATAGTCAATTGGGAAGCACGAACATATCCTCAGACAACAAACCCAACAAACTCTAACATAAAACCGACCAGGGATATGTCGCAAAGTACCGCAGATTTTAGAAAGAGACAATATACTACACCGCGTGGTGTAACGCGATCATTCCCAGATAGAAGAGATGAAAAAACAGTACCAAAAATTAGAGCCACAGAAGTAGAAGAACATGATCCAGGATCCGAAGACGAACAACCGAAGGAAGCTAATCTCAACCAGGAAAACTAAAAGTGAGTTGCACGAATTTAGAAAAGCAAAAGGCACGTTCCTGCAACTCAATACAGCAACTAACCAAGAAAAGTGACCAAGTAGAGACGATCCAATACAATGTACAAATAGCATCGATCTTCGATGACCCGCGAGAACTCCTGGTGGATTATAACGAAATACAGCCGCGACAGCGCAGTAATAACAGATGTCCCGAGATTATAATAGAAATAGAGGGCATTCCAGTAAGAACCCTGTTAGATACAGGAAGTCAAGTCACCGCTATCTCTGACGAGTTTTACCAACAGAATATAGGTAAATTCCAGACATGCCCAACCTTACCAGTGGTTGGGAAATGCTTAATAGTTGCGACAGGAGCAAAGCCCACGAAATTAAGGAAACAAATACAAACAAACATAAAATGCCAGGACATCGACCTTACCGCTACCGTCCTAATAATTCCGAATTTGGTCTCGGCATGTATCCTAGGAATAGACGTGCTCAGGCGGATTAAGGCGAATATTAACCTAGAGCATAATGAGATATCTTTAAAAAAACAACGAGACACAAGTTACTATCGAACTCGATTGGGAAAGCAAGGAAACAGAAAACCAATACACATCGGAAGAAAGGGTGGCAGCTATGAAATCAAAAGAAATAGAAGAGATCGTTCTCACGGACTCGGAAATAGATCAAAAACTTGAAGAGTGTAACACCCTCAGCCAAGATGACAGAAGAAAACTCAAAGAAGTCATTATGGCGCACCGAAGAGTTTTTGACAAATGCCCTGGGCGAATTGAAGTATACGAACACAAACTAAACGTTAAGAGCGAAGATCCATTCATACAACGCACATATCCGATCCCAGCAGCCTTTCGAGAACGCGCCGACAGAGAAATTGAAAAGATTTTGGAAAATGACATCATACAGAGGTCAAACAGCCGATATATAAATTCACTGGTAACTGTAGTTAAGAAAGACGGATCAGTCAGGCTCTGTCTAGATGCGAGGCAATTAAATAAGATTCTAGTTAAGGATTATGAATCACCCCAGAATGTAGAAACATTGTTCCAACAATGCCAAAGGGTCGGCGTGATGTCAAGTTTAGATCAAAAAAATAGTAATACGCATTCAGTTTCATTTAAATCAATGGAATTAGAAAAAGGATATGATGATTATTCGAAAACAAATAATTTAAAACACACTTCCAACCAGAAAAGAAGGTATTTAGAAATTCTCATTAAAGAATTAGTTATGAAAGCTCAAGAGATTAAAAATATTAAATGTTCAGGCTCCTTGACTCTACGAGATTTAAGCCAAGAGGCTCCGACTTCACTTTCGGGACCGAATTCAAAACGCGGAACGCCTGATTCTGCATTTCCCATGAGTCCAAAATGTGACACGCAATCAGCAACTTCATCTGGAATGTACTTGAGGAAGTTACCGGAAAGACTGCAGAAGATGCAGAATGAAAAATGTCCGGAACTGACGGTACAAATGTTTTTCGAATTTATGCGAACTGCTTATCAGGTGAACGACAGCTTCGAGGAATTGGCGACGACTCTCACAGCCAACAGCGAGATCGATTGGAACAAATTGGCCAAAAGCGATTTGAACTCGCAAATAGAGGCCGGCGACGCGACGCCCTTGAGTCCCATAAACCAAACGGCATCGGGAAACGAAGGTGCGGACAGAAGAATTGAAACGGAAGTGTGTCCTGAGATTTGCAAGCCGCCAGTACATGAAAATAAATTACAAGATCCTTCGTTACTCGCCTCTCATACCAGAGTACGACGTGTAAATGCAAGAAAAGAGCATATTCAAAAACCAGGAAGCACTGCAGTCACTTTCGCTCAGTCGTTATTGGCAGTTGCACAAGGAGACACTTCAGATACTCCGCATGACGGGCAAAAGTTGGTAGCAAGGAAAGATGATAAAGATAAAGATCAAGAGAGTCGCGAGCGTTCTCAAGAAGCTACAGGCACAGAGCTCACGACGAAGAAAGGAAAGACAGCAATGGCCGTATCCGTGTCCGACAGTAAGGAGCATTTATTGGCGAAAATAATGAAGAAGAAGCTGAGTGACATCCTGCACGAGGGTCTTTTAGATTCCGTATTACCGTATATGCTACCAAAGACTGTCGTTTCTCAGCCAATCATTAAAAAATCCATGGTGAACGTGGAAGTAAAGAAAACTGCTTCTTCCGGTGTAATCCTCGAGAGCAAGACGGCCTCCGTACCCTTTAGTAAAGATAAAGAGAAAAATAAGCATTTAAAAAGATCTTTTGAGTAAGTATATACAGTCTTTGTGCCCAGGAGGTGAATTTATCGGATAGTACAAAGTACCATAATGCACGTGAATTTCCTGTTTTATTTTTGTTCAATAGAAACGAAGTGGAAATTCATGTCTGCGACGAGGCCAAAAGCATAAAGAAAGACTTCCGGTGTCCTCAGAAATTGCTGGTCCAGAAGATGTGTTATTTCGCCGATGTGACCGCCGGTCAAAAGTTGGAGGAGATGGACATTTCCGTTCATTGTGACATCGTGATCTTTGATTGGCTTATGCGCTGGGTCAAAAAGGATATTATTAAAAAATCAGAGTGGCCGATTTTGGAAGCCAGTAACGTCATTCCAATAATGGTGTCTGCCTCGTTTTTACAAATGGAACCGCTCCTGGAGAACTGTCTTATATTCTGTCACGACAATATGACTGAAGTATTGAAAACCTCTGCAATCTTAACTTGTCTAAATGATAATCTTCTTACTAGGTGCGCCGGAGTTTACCTCAAATATCAGATTCTTTTACTACCTGGACAGAATGAGCGAAGTCATTTATTACTTTGCAGATTAGCTTCTTTATTCAGTAATGTCGAAGTAGAAGCGATAAAGGATAAGAAGGATAAGATCCAGAGTCGATTATTTTGCAAATTAATTATATCACTAGTGGATTCGAGTCCGGATAACAAAAGAGGCCATTACAGCTCCTTGTCGACACTTATAAAATGCGGCAAATGTGGTGAAACCGTTATTAAATCAGCTTCAGATTCTGTACCTTGTGTCCCAAGTGCAATGAGTATCGACAGCAAAGGGGAACTTCACAGCATGCACACAAGGTATTATCAGAATCTATTATATCTATGATCCATTGTACTTTCGACAGAATACATTTTTTTTATAGAGTTATATAAATTCACAGGGACTCGACGTGGACGTTAAACGACTATATCGTCTCTCTGCGAGGAGAATTGCGTTCTTGGCGGAAAGTCTACTGGCGATTATGGGCAGACTGTCATTTTTTGTTGTGTCGTCAGTGCGGGACTTATTTTCCAATTCATCAGTTCGATTGGTGCTGCTACCATCCGGAAGTTCCACAATTCTTTGTCAATGAGCAACAGAGATCAACGCCGTTTCCGCTTGGAAGATATCCCTGCTGCAGTCAACGAGCATATAGATTCGAGACATTGCCCAACAAAGAAGGATGTAGATTCCGGGTAAGTAATTATAGTTGGACATTTTTTAAAGACTCGCCTGATTAATAACTTTGGATTGATCACCTAGGAACACGTACCGGTAGTCTCAACCGATAAGGAAGTTAGCATTATGAGCATCTTCGCTGGATATAGAGATGTTATTTCATTGGAGCCTCCTCAATTGTTTTTCCCAGAAAAAATAACACGATTGGTAGCGAGAGATCCTTCTCTTCAGCCGGGTAAATTGGCTTGCAAGGAGCCCATGTGGTGGGATGGGATAGAACTGGTACCGTCCAGACCTAGGCTGGGGCTATTGGGTAAGTAAATGAAAACAACTTTATACAACGTTGCCTTTCCAGTCGGTGGATGAACTCTCTCTTGACTTTAGGGAGAATTTGGGGAGGATCTGGAGTCAAGCAGCCTTCTCAAGTTTCAGATTCCTTGAAACCATCGCGAAAGTCGCGCCCGTTAAATTCTCAGGTGGCAGATGCTTCTTTGCCAAATTCTTCTCTTGCTGGTAGCGAAGAAGACGACGGAGTAACAGCATGCGGCGATAGTAGCGCCGATGAGGAATCTTATAACAGCGAAGAATCTCGTGCATGGTCGCCTTTCAAACAATATACAAAGTTCAAACGAAAAGCCAGATATTATGCCGGGAATAAAAGAAGCGATAGCGTAAGATCCTGGAGTGCCAATTTAACAGTTCGGTACAACCAGGACAATCAGAGGGACTTTGAAGAGAGGGCTTCGGCGCAGATGATATCGTTGCTCACGAAGAGGACCTCCATCGAATGTGGACTGCTGCCAAAGATAAATTCGCACGGCAAGCATCACGTCAATTCGTGGAATTATGCACAGCCACTCGGTATTGTATTAATGGAAATATATTACATTACAATTATGAAATATTGTATAACGCTACTGATCGAGTATCATTTGTACTCTGTCTCTTCGCACATTACAGCGTACTAATGCATCACTCTTCTACAGGTGGGACGTACGTCAAGTTGGAAGCTGAGTTCCGAGAGCAGTTGGTTCAGTCGTACAAATTTAGAAATTCATCTCAAACCAAGTGGTCAGGGCGTGTCAAATCATCGAAAATATTCTAACGTACTTGATGAGTCCAATGGTCTGAATACTATTCGACGCGTACCTCGATGTTGATTAATGGCTAAGCACATGCTCACTGAATGACTTCTTTAACAGAAATGCACAGTTCGAAACTGTCTACTTGATGAGTGCAATTGTCTGAATACTATTCGACGCGTACCTCGATATTGATTAATGGCTAAGCACATGCTCACTGAATGACTTCTTTAACAGAAATGCACAGTTCGAAACTGTCATTGTGAAAATTGTCTTTATTGTATAACTGTTACATATCAATAATTGAAAATACGAACACTGTACTTGGCGAAAAACTGTGTCTATTGGATTTTAGGATAGTAAGCGACTATGAGAATCAGTGTGATTGATACACGGTAAAGAGCAATCTTTGGAAATATAATGATTTATTAAGCGATTCGTAGAATATACAGCTAGCAAGCGACAAAGATCAAAGTGGACGTCGACCGATCCTAAGTGCGTTCATGAGATCTTAGCTGCAAAATCTTTTCCTTTCTTGCATACTAATTAGATGATTGGTCGTTAATTGATAATATTCGATTTGGTATATTCGTGCTAGATGTTCTAAAATCGATGATCAATAGAAGTTTTGCTACGCAGTCAATGATGATTGCGTCACTTGCAAGTTTCAAATAGAAAGGTAAAAGATTCTGTAAACATTGCGTTATACTTACATGGAAATCTATTATGTATGAAATAAACAAAAAAAAAAAATAAGACAGAATTTGATCTTTCAATAAAATATAACCTGGTTTTCCTACTCAAATGCCTTCGTACAAACACATTGTAATGGTATTGAAGTTGAATTTACAATACGTCAATTTCTTAGGTACAAATTATCATTAGGATATTCGTTATTTCAATAATTCACTATATCAATAATGCGTCTTACATATTAGTGAATCCCAGCACAAGTTATTTTAGTATGGCTAAGTACCATCTTTTTGCGTTCAAATATATTTCAAAAATGGAACATACCATGCACTATCTATTAAGTTGATGTGGGACTTCATGACTGGGACGGCAAATTTCTTTACTTTTAATATACCGCTTATTGAAGATGCAATAAAATGATTTTCATCGATATTATAGAGGAATGAGTAGATATTAATTCGGTTACGAAATAATTTACATTCTTTCCATCGAAAGCTAGTGGCCGTATAAAACGATATGAAACAATGAGATTGTGCAGTAATCGTAAGATGATACTCTCCAGTACCTGGAGTCTTCAGCGGATTTCATGAAAGCTTTCAGTTACGTGTCGAGGAGTTGAGTGTCAAATTTAACAGAACCCGATTATTTAGTCTTACAGAAAGTAATCCGCTTGTGGCTTTTTACTGGGGATACCTCTACTTTCCTGAGGCGCTGCTTCGAATATCGTAAAGTCCCTTTGCAGATGTTCATTTAGTTCTAATATGGCTGCTACGTTACCGCACCTGGAGGGAGTGGAATCAAAATATTTCATTTTAATTGAGTCTAAAATTCAAATGTGCAATTAAACCAGTTAACTATAATCATTTACAAAGCTATACCTGTAACAGTAATTGGGGGCCGACCAAACCGTCAGTACAGTTTCATTGAAATGCCACTTGTAACCTTCCATAACCAATTGATGTGCTCTACATATCATATCGATGTCATTTGCAGAATTAAATTGTGCTACAACATCACTACCAAATAAGTACCCAGCACCCCTGGGTGACACGCCCCATCCTTGGGTGTCTTCTGGGTCAGACCACAATAAATCGCACATTGGGCCGTCGTGAGGTACCTATTGAATTATTACAATTTGTCAGTTATTCTATATTAACATAAGTATCTTCATAATCAAGGGAAACCTTTTGTAATCAAACTCACTTCTTGTTTCCTGTCGAGAGTCCTAATTTGGTCCAACGTTTGGATGCTGGGCGAGAGTCCTCCATGAACGCAAAAGATTTTTCCATCGACAATGGCCGATAGTGATAAGTAATCAAAGATCTCAGTGCAATAGCGCCAAACCGTGATACTACCATATTTGCGTAGACATTCATCATAGAAACCGTAAACTTGTGTGATTTGTCGTGATTCGTGATTCCCTCGTATTAGGGTAATTCTGTCAGGGTAACGAACCTGTAAATTGCGATAGGTTTACATGTTTGTTATTTCTTGACTCATATTGACAAATTTATAGAGTTTAATTACCTTAAGCGCAAGAAGAAGGAGGAAAGTCTCAACGCTATAAAATCCTCTATCAACGAAATCTCCCATGAATAAATAATTCGTCTCTGGGACGTCACCACCAACTTTAAATAACTCTTTCAGATCATAAAACTGACCATGAATGTCTCCACATACCTAGTTCAATGTGAGATATTAAAATTTTATATTTTCATCCTAAAATAACATTAATGCAAGAAAACATATTATTGTAAAGTAACTCACTGTAACAGGAGAATCAACCCGCTGGACATTACTCTCTTCGATAAGAATCTCACGAGCCTTTGCACAAAGGGCTTTTACTTCTGCTTCCTTAATAATTTCACATTTCTTTAATTGTTCGATCTGCCGATCCAAATCACTGGAATCGGACATGACAGCAGCTATACCTTTTAGCTTGGACTAAAATAATAATAATAGATATCAGTCAGCTTCATCGTGCAGCATAATAACATCAGTTTTCAGCTTTCAAACAATCTAAGATTAAGGGATTTAGAACAAGCTTGTGACGGTAGATCAGATATGACATAATATTAAGAAGTTTCATTATTGAAAAATTAATGATACAAATGTATATATACCCATTACTTCTTTTGAACAGTTTCCATAATTTTGAAATTTACACTAGAAGAGCAAAATGCGCTCATTATATTCAGAGTAATAATTATATACAAGGGTGAGACCGAGCAAGATTAGAAATTAAAGAAATTACTTTATTAAATAGTAATTTGGATAGTTGATAGCCTCTGAGCAGTAACTCGTCAGATAGAAAAATGTATAATATTATAGAAAAAGTTCTACGCAAATAAGCAATTGAGGGCTACGTGAATATTCTTAACATACAAAGATTGTAATTTATCATACCAGTTAAAAAGAATACGTTTTAAAGGGCCCGAAAAACACTTCGTTACACTAAAATTAGGTGTTTAGAACGCACGTCGCTACAAGCTTCTGCCGGTCGCCATTAACATCCGACATATTTGGAGCATCGCATCGCGCGCGTCTTTTGCCGCGGTTAAATTCAAATTGATCTCTTCACAATCCAGTTTCTCCAATATTTTTTTTGTAATTATAAAGATAATAGTAATGTAGTGACTGCTAATGGCAAGTAAAGGATTTGGTCAATTTCGCCAAGTGGTAAATATCTTTTTTATCAATTTTCATTCTGTGAGGTCATTCAAGTCGTGAAATAAATAGGGAAGCCACTTTTATGAGAATTTCTGGCGAGTGCTCGGCACAGTAGACATGAAAAGTATATCGGAATAAAGGGCTTAGTATTTTAGAAATTGCTAATGTGCCATATATTTTATGCCACTTATTGAATACATAGGGCTTTCTTTACACTTGGATATAGTATAATATCTCCTGAGTGATAGAATCCTCATATATCATTAAATTAAAATAGTATAGAAGACTTGATAGTTATTTCAAACTATTATAATACGTGATGCCAGTGAATGCCACCTGCATTGAGTTATGCGAGATCAGTGCACCTTGAATCAACAATAATATGTTAGTAAGCATATTGAATTCACAGGAATCCATACTACGATTAACAATTCAAATACAGTAATAATTTTCCAAATTACGTTTAGACTTCTAAAAGTTAAGGTTTTATGTCATAATCATTTAAATTTGTGTCATAACTCCAATTAAAAAAACTTGGCATTTTTCAATACAAAGTTATAAGTATATTATCAAGGTTTCACGTTGGGAAAACTGTTGACTAGTGTTGTCATGATTTTGCAAGCGCAAAGCATTTCGGGTAGCATCCGAAGCTCCATAGTTCGGCGCCTCTTGAAGGCTTGGAGTTACATTCGTCTGGCTGTGCGGCTGTCATCATCGTTCGTCGACGGGTGTTTCCAGGTTAACAGTGTCGTCGCCGTCCCATTTCCGACCGGAAAGAAACATCTATAATCAGTGTATTGTGAAGGTACCATTTCTGTGGTGTGCTGCGTCGTTGCTTTCCGGTTCCCTTGGAATTACACGAAATTTTAATCGGAGATGGGAAACTTCCACACTTGCGGCCCGAACGAAGCGCTCGTCGTATCAGGTAGGAAAGCATATTTCATTTTTCCTTTACTTTATTCATTTCATAATAATACTGTGCATGGAATAATTTATGCAATTAAACAATCATTTTCAGTAGTTAATTATCTTAAAATAATTAAGTTGGAATGATGTCATTTGTCAAGGTTACACGCCAATTTATACCGGCTTTTTTTACGTAACGGAAGTAATCCAAAGCGTATGGCCGGTTGCTGTTTTAACACATTTTTTTCCTTGTTTGAATTTAGGCTAATATCAATAAAAAAAAAATACATAATCTAACTGTTTTTCTATATCAAGAGCATATACTTTTTATTAGATTCAATACTATATTTTTCTTTTTAAGATTGAGTGACAATTGATAATATATTACATTTTAAGGCTTCAGTGGCATGTATGACCAAAAATCAACAACTATTTGTCATATAGTATATGAATTGTTTATTGAATTGATAGTCATATTTTTTGTATAATTGCTGTTAGATCTATTTCGATATGAATTACATTAGATTTCCCCAAACGATATTCAATGGATTTAGTATACTGTTTTTCCTATATTAATTTTTTTTGTGCATTTTTAATACTTCCTATATGATCATAATTGTATTTTTAGGAGCAGTCTGTATCGCCACATAGTGAATAATATGTCAGATACTCAGTTGTCAAGCTATCGTAGTATTGAAAGTTGAAAATTATGTTCATTCATTATTTTTTATACACATAGAATATACTTTTTATCAGATATAATATGAATAGACTATTAACCATAATGAACTAGTCTGAAAACATGTTTCTCATATATTTTAGTTTGCTTATGTATAATTTTGGCATGTTTTAGAACATTTGAAATTAGATGTTTATGATCTGATATGGAGAAATACTAGTTGAATTTAATATTGCTGTAAGGAAAAATCTTCATATTTTATATTTCGTTATATTAGTAATCGTTTTGAAGATTGTTTTTTTCTACTTTTTATTGCAATTTTGTTGTTAAATTATCTAAAGCATGGTATATGTTTGGTTATCACATGTTTCAGATATGAATTTTGTAGTAACTTATCAGGATTTGCATGATACATTTGGTGAAGCAACAGTAAAGTTTAATTTAAGAATTGTTGCATAAGAGGTGTATTTATTTACATAACTTCCATCAAACACTTGCATTTGGCTTCAACACATTTTAAAAACGATAAAATCATATGAGTGAAAAGGCTTATACATAATTTGACATGCAGTTATCTTAAATTAAAATGTTCATATCTTTAATTTGATAACCCTTTTTTTAATAAATTTTTCCAGAATATATTTATATTTTTCGATTTTTTTCATTTGTATGACTTGCGTAATATTTGATCTTTACGAACATATACTTTGTAGCTTCGAGAAAAAAGTGATAATTTGAAGTACAATCAGAGGTTTTGTTCTTGATACTGCCAGTTTAGTATAGTAAAGAGCATGTTCTATTTGATATGATCAGTAACAACTTTGGTAGTAATAGCTCAGATGAGTTAGGTATAAATATTTTTCAAATATTACGTAAGTTCACACATTGCTCCTTCATTCCATTATATATCATAATTTCCTACAGTCATTATTTTAAAATAATTAGTAAACCTTCCACCTTATTTAATATCTATCATTGTGTATAAAAAAGAAGTTGGTAAGTTACACTTTTAGTACTCGATATAATTTGACAACATCATTAGATACGCATCATATTTAGTAGATGATTACAAGGGACATGAAAAATATTTGCATATATCATCAATGGAGGAGCAACTAAGTTAACAGATTTTCACATTATTACCTCTTCTAATTTTTGGATATTTACTATTTATTGTGCGGGAAAATCCTGTATTCTATCTTATCGTCTTGCACTATTCAAGGGCAGTTAAGGCGGTACGATTGTTTTCTATAATATAAAGTTTGTTCGCGAATAAACAGTATAACGTCATTTTCAAAAATATATGCTACACAGAAAATCGATTGAGCCATAGACAATCATTTTTTAATTTTCATACTAAAGTATCTAACCTCTTTGTATTTGCATGTTACGTTATTGACACAGCGTCAATCTCAGAAACGAGACGGTCAATATTTTTGAAACTTTGCACGCACGAAAGATTGTGCACCAGCCAAAAGATATTATATTCTAGAACGGTTAGTTGGATTTTTTTTTGATAGCCTCCTTCATGAACCGTATTCGTAGTACGACCTTATACGTATACGAATGACAAGGAACTCGTGTGAGTTCTCAATACAACTTCAGCTAGGCTGTTACTGCGACGGAATTACTATGTCGTTAGGAACGCGGGCGTTATTCATTGTCAGACATGACGCCCAACTGGCGTCGTCAGTTATTTATTCGGGTTACTCTCACGCATCATTCATAGGTCGTAAAGTTAATGAGAGTAATGTACGAATGATCGTTATATAACATTTTTTTTTAATCAGCACTAAGAATTTACACTCTTTCGGTTATCAGTATCTTTTTCATATCACTCTGTACAGAGAATTATACCTACTGACAATGAGCTAAATGCGGTTTTTATAGAGACTGCATTAAAATGATTTCTTATGGCATGCAGTATTAATTAAAAAAAAAATTGTATTGGTATCATAATATATACCTACCTAATATAAAGTGCCTCTAAACTTAGCTTACGGTGATAATAGTTGAGCTAAATTTGATCGAAGGATGATAATTTGTTTCAAGGACATCCTTGGTTAAAAACAATCTTTTAACGAATTCTATGTGAAGTGTGGGAATCTCCAAATTTCGGCCGAGCGTGGTAGATAACATTAGATTGGTTGGCGTCTCTTTTTAATCTTCGAAGGTCACTGATTACATGACACGTGTTCTGGTTCTAAAAAAAGTAAGAGTCATCACGAAGTGGGGCGAGAGTTGGATTGAGAAGATATTTTTGGAATGTGGGTCTATTCAAACGTAATTATTGAGCCAGCTGGTTAGTGTGAAAGAAAAAAAAATGGGAAAAAGAAAAGGAAGAAATAAGACAAGAAAGTGATGTTCAAATTTTTTATTCACGCATTGTAACTTTTTGGTTTTGTCGATTTGCCTTGATAATGTTTTTCCTCTTACGTCCACGTGAATCTGAAAAAATGTGTGCGGCGATGAGTCACTTGCGGACAATATAGGGTTGTGCATAGGATGCATGTGTACGTTAGTAGGCCACCCTTGAGTCTTTCTCGCTCTTTGAGAGTCGCGGCGGGGGCAGAAAGTGCTATGGTATCCATTGTTCCGGTTCCCTCGGGGGATCCCGTAGCCAGATAGACCACGTAAAATGAATACCGAGGGTATCCTCACGTTTCCACTCGTGACGAAGGCAGGGCGGCTAAATACGTATACAGTACGTAATATAGAGAGATCAATCGATATTTCACCCCCTTTATGAAAAATGTCTATTGCTTCGGGAGCAAGACTTGTTTCATTTTATGATTTAAAAAATTTAAGGGTCGCGATTATTAATTCTTAGAGTAAGAGAGAAACCACATTTAGGCTGATTCGAGGACTCCCCTTGTGCGGACACAACAGCTGGGGAAACAACCCTTCGGGGTTGACACCCTTCGACTGCTCGGTTTTGTGACGTCATTTTGTGTTACTTCTGCGGAACTTGCTGTGCTCAATCCTTTCGAAGGATTAGAAGATCTGAGATTCTTTTTTTTTTTAATGAATTTATTACACACTTGGAAAACGTAACTGGTGCAAGCTCTGTACAAAATAAATGTAAAATGGTTTGTATGGTTAAATTATTACGTAAATTAAATTGAGAAAATTAACGGCGAGGCTTTTTTGTGCAATTTTATGGCATGCACGACGATTACATTTTGATATTCATAACGATAACTCATGATACGCATATTTACATTGCTATACGAATGAGGAAAGGTAAAAAGCCAAAACGATCGTGTAGAAAATGTTTAAACAATTAATTAGATTAGTCCTTTTTCCGAGGATGCGATTTATCTCGCTCTTGTTTTGATTGCATCAGATGGTCCATTTTGTGATTTCTTTTTCGCCGCGCCATCCCACGTTTCCTTAACGAGATCAGCTGCTTTTTCGCCGATCATGTAGATGGCAGCATTGATATGTCCAGTCGGCATGGTAGGCATGATCGAGGCATCGGCAACCCGTAGCCTCTCTATTCCGTAAACTCTTAGACTGGGGTCGACGACAGCGTCGGGATCGGTTTCGGGTCCCATTTTGGCAGTTCCGATTTCATGGTTCATCATGGACGGCAAATGCTTTATTGCGCAACGCCAGTAATCGTCGGAGCCAAATTCCAGCTGTTGGCATCCGGGAATCTTGATGTCGTGAATTCGGGTGCCGTAGGCCTGGAAGGGTTCGGTAAGGGATACGTTAATCGCGTGCTTGACACCCTCGAGAAGAATCTCAAGGTCCGCAGGATGCGTAAAGAAGTTGGGCTGCATGATGGGCCAGTGAAACGGGTCCTTGGACTTGAGGGTGAGACGCCCGACGCTTCTGGGATTCTGGACGATTGGCCAAATGGACCAGGCGTCTTGATTCTCAATGGGCTTGTAGACGGTGTTGTACAGTTCATCCGTAATTCCAAGAGCTCGCCTGAGCGTGACGCCATTGTCGGAATGCAGGGATCCGGATGCGAAGAGCAGCTCCACGTCCGGTCTAGGATCCGGGGCGTATTTCGTTCTCACGAAGGCCAGCGCCTCGGCGCCACCTGGTATCGACGCCGGGCCGTTCCTCTCGAAGATGTACTCGAGCAGGACGCTCGGATTGGCTATCCTGCTTTGTAGCAAGCTCACGCTCTGGTTGACCATGAAGGTCAGACCCAGGAACCCAATGTGCTCGTACATGTTGTAGCCAACTTTGGCGTCCTTGATCACCTCTATTCCCAGCTGGCTCAAGTGATCCTGCGGACCGATTCCCGAGAGCATCAGCAGCTTGGCCGTGTCTATGGTTCCAGCCGACAGGATCACCTCCTTCGAAGATCGCACCTTGTACCACTTCCTGTCCTTCACGTACTTGACGCCGTAGGCTCGGTTCGCCTTGTCTATCAGTACTTGCGTAACACGCGCCCCCGTCACGATGTCCAAGTTCGGCCTCTTCTCGCTGAGATACGCCTTCGCCGCGCTGCACCTGCTACCTCGGTCCATGTTTGCTTGGATATACGAGAAGCCTATCTGCTCCTGCCCGTTGTAATCCAATATCTTGTGGCCCAGCCTTTTTCCGGCTTTTAAAAACGCTTTCGACAACTCCGAATGATACGGCACGTATTCCACGCACAGATTTCCATCCCGACCGTGATAATTGGTGTCGTTTATGCCTGAAATTAAAGAATCATTTTCGAATCTCAAATGACAAATCACTCGTGCAACTGTCTAATCACCTGGGACATTGAATCTTTCGCTCTTTTTGAAATACGGCAAAACTTCCTCGTAGGACCAGCCGGTATTTCCGAGCTCGGCCCAGTGCTCGTAGTCCAGCCTATTGCCCCGGGTGTGGATCATGTAATTGAGGGTGCTGGTGCCACCTAGGGACTTTCCCCTAGGCCACGAACACTGTCGGTTATTCATCCCTAGACACGCGTTCTTCTGAGGCTCCACTTTGTATCCCCAGTTGTAGTCGGTCAGCTGGAAGTAGCTTACCAGGACCGGGATCTGGTTCAGGACTCCCTCGGGACTTCCTGCTTCCAATAGGAGGACCTTCCATTTTTTATTTTCCGAAAGACGATTCGCCAGCACGGATCCTCCCGAGCCTGCTCCGACCACGATGAAGTCGTACTTTGCTGCGTTTGGATCGAATAGCGTTATCAGCTCGTCATTTGCGTCTCTGTAGCTTCTTATCAGATTCAAAAATGTCTGCGCTCTTACTGGCTGGATGATCGTCATGGCTAGTATTCCCAGTATCGGCAGGAGTCTTACAGTCTTTGCCATTTTTTACTGTAAATGGAAAAATTTTCAAGTTATCTCATAGATTACTTAAGATTCATAAAGAAATTTCTTTTTCACATTCATTTTACGTAATCATTTATATCAGGTCTTGCGCCGATCACTTCGACCCGTTACGCACACGTTACGCTATGTCAGTGCTCCCATTATCTTGGTCTTTCGATATCTTCTGGATTTTCTTTTTTTCTCTTGCGCCGCAATGCACCGGGTTACTGCATCTACGTTACGGCTTATACATATACATATATACATATATATATACATTGCGCAATATGTCGATTGATATAAAAATTTCTCCTTACATCTACGCGTATTCACTTTCACTGCACTTCATTCATAAGGTTAACCCAGTCCTTGCCATCCATATTGATGATTAATAGTTAATTACGCCCGAGAATTTCGATACTTCTTGAGATTACGAAATACGATTACACTTATGCCTGTTTATCGATAAGAGTAAAGATAATTATATGAAATGTATAGAGACAATTGGAATTTGAGTATTTGAGAATTTGAGCTTTACTTATGACAGATTGTGCGATACAAAATTGAAATTAATACTTGACTCCTGTTTTTCTTTTTTATTTTTACACATCAATTTTCAAATTCAATATATACATTTTACTCGGTAGAATGATGTGGGATAAGTATGAGTAAATTTGTGGTTCACGGAGTCGTTTGGCATGTTCAGCTAATCAAGTTTATCAAGGGCAACTAATAATAGCGTCTTGTAGACTTACTGATCTTCTTTTGTGACTTTCTGCGCGCCTTCCAAGGATGGCGAGTTTTCGCAATTTTACAGGCGAAGCTGCTGGAACCGCGAAGGTAATGCGCTCCGCGCGCCTGACGGGCGCTGACTGTTACTCGCTGCTCTCGAGAAGTTAACTCGAGAAATGACGCTTTCACGAGATATTCACGTAATGGCTTCTCTGTTATTCTCATACCTGACACGCGGGCTGGACACTTCTTCTTCGTCCGTGTCATTACCCGGTCTGACTGATCGGTTGTGTTATTACAATTTTCACAAGTCCCCGATACACAAGTGCCTTTACGATACACTTCGGTATTCACCTTAGGATTTACTTATATTCTCTCGCCACTGTGCCGAAGGACTCTTTAGTTTTTATTGTGATTCAAATTCGTATTTTTTTTTTTTTTTTTTTTTTTTTTTTTTTTTTTTT